ATAAATCTAATAAATCTACTAACCATCCAAAATTAAATATACTTAAATTTAATGTAATTTTTAGACCAAAAGAAGTACTTCATTCTCTAATTGCAATTGGTTCATTTGTTCACACATCATTTATTGACTGTTTACTATGGCAGGACATGTGCTAGTAAATTTATATGTACTATTGCCCAAAATGATCATTTGTCCTCTTTTTTACTCAGTAGAAAAAAGAAGCTTGGAAAAGTTAGCTTACATGTAGTCATATACTAATAAATGCACAAGTAGAGATTTAAGTCAGATCTGTGGAACAAAATTTTGACAGCACAGTGCCAGCAATTATTCTAGGTACTTTATAAATACTAATGCATCAGATCTTCATAATGATTCCCAAGGTAGAGACTTATGTACATACCATTTTGCAGATGAGTTCATTACCACAGAGGGAGGTTAAGTAAATGGCAGAGATGGAATTCAAACCCAGGCAGCCAGACTCCAGAGGCCTTGCTTTGAACCACACCACTAGATGGGCTTTTCCATACTAACAGCTTGTTGCTCCCACTGCACTGGTCTGCTTAAGAAGGCAAACAGACACATGAGGACAGATGGAATGAATTGAGTGCTGAGGTCAACAGCTGTGGCTATAGCATTTGGACCTCTGTCACATTTAGTGATGAAAATTCAGGGCAATGCCTTAAAAGGAAGAAAAGAGGGGAAGGAATTATCATGCTGTGGAGTAAATGATATCCTCTACAAATTTTATGTTGAAGTTTTAACCCGCAATGACACAGTATTTGTAGATAAGGCTTATAAAGAGGTAATTAAGGTTAAATGAGGTCATAAGGGTAAAGACCCAATATGATTGGGTTAGTGTTTTTGTAAGAACCGACACCAGAAGGCTCACTTAAGTGCTTGTACTTTGGCTCACTGCTTTCTTTCTCTGTGTCTCAGCATGCAGAAAGAAGATGGCATGTGAGCACACAGTAAGATGGCAGCTTCCCAGAAGGCAAGAAAGATGCCTCAGAATGAAACCCACCTTCCCAGCACCATGATAGGAAATTTCCAACCTCCATTATATTGAGAAATAAGTGTCTATGGTTTAAGCCATCCAGTCTGTGGTGATTTGTTATGGCAGCCAGAGTAGATAAAGACACATTGAAACAAGATAGTTCCCTAGTCCCCATCACAGGTCTTACAAAAGCATTGGCTCATTTACTCAACCTGCAGCTCTCAACCCCTCACGGGAGGGGGAACATGCATGTGAGTGAGTGCAGAGGCCAGAATGAGTGCTGCTGGGTGCCAGCAGGAGTAGAATTCTGTGCAACCTTGTGGCAGCATCTTGGGGCATACCTGTGACTCATGGAACCCCAGAGTGGGTGTGTTAACAGTGTGCTCTTTTAGCTTTGCCATCCACATATGGCTTAAGTGTTTAACAGCTCAGTGGAGGGTCAGGGTTATAGCCTTTTGCACACATCCTCTTGGTACCTGAGTTCTTGTCTAGTATCATGGAGGAATCAGGTTGTACAAACAAATTGAAGGGTGGTGAATGTGGAGGATTTTATTGAGCAGTGGAAGTGGCTCTCAGCAGAATGGGGACATGGAAAGGGGATCGAGTGGGAAGGTGGTCTTCCCCTGGAGTCCTCTGTTCCTGGCCGAACTCTTCTGCAAAGTCCCACCATCAAGCTCTCCCTTTGAAGTCAAGCTGCTTCTCTCCGATGTCCACCTGCTTCTTTTCTCCCTTGCTGCTCTGCCACACTGAAGCTCTGCCAGTGAAGCCTGGGGTTTTTATTTACAGGATGGGGTACAGGGAGGCCCATAAGGTAACATTCAAGCAGGAAAACAGGAATGCATTTTCTCACTTTGGGCCATGGTCCCAGGTTTGAGGGGATGGCCCTCACCAGGGACTGCCTTCTTCTACTTAGTATTTCCCTGCCTCCTGTCCATGTAAATATCATGTCTCTGGAAAGTCCTGGGGTTAACCTAATTTAGCAAAGGCACAGATGGATCCAGGGGCTCAAAGAATATTATTAGCCTCTACCCCCTCTATCTTACTCTCACAGTCTTTCTTTCTCACACACATATACACTTTTCATTGACTCTTGTTTGTTTCTGCTTTGCTCTGAATTGACCATATTCTTAGGCCTACTTCCACTGTGTGCCACCGCTCCCGCCAGGTTAACATGGGATCCTAGTGCATAATTGTAGTGAAATCTCAGGAGGAGGAATGCTTCTTTCTCCATAGTTCTAACAAAAGGGTTGCCTAGCTTAGGTCAGAAATTTATCCTTGAACCAATTACTATGGCAAAGGCAATGTATGCAGTGACTGGCTAAGCCTGGGCTACTTACCTACCCTTGCAACCCCTAGCTTCTAGTCAGCCTCTTTTGAACAACAGGCTGAGGATGGTTAGGGGAGGCTTCCCAAAAGGAAATCAGAATGTCTGCACCAGGAGAGAGAGAGAAAGGGATGCCAGGAAGGCAGTATCGCTCAAGTCCACCAGTGTTACAAACCTACTAGGCCATTAATTCCCAATCACAGCTGTGTGCTGAAATAATCCAGGGGTGTGTGTAAAAAAAAAAAAAAAAAAAAAAAAAAAAAAAACCAAGGACTCTCGTCTTATATACTTTTATTTATTTGGCAGGTTAATGCTGAGGTTTAGCCTTTTCAGGTATAGGTTATTGGAACCTAATGAAAGAGTCCCAATTCAACCACTTTTTAATATTTGTTTAAAATATTCCTCAAATGCACCCATATAGCAGAAATAATAATATTCCTTTCCATAAAAATTGGTGAGTAGAAAAAAATTATGTTTTGAGAAGCAAATTATAAGATCTAGAATCAATGGATTGTAGTATAAATAAGCAAAGCAATCTAAAGGAGCCAGAAAGGAGCTTAAGGCCATCAGTACAAAAAACATACAATGCATTCTTATCAGTTTATTTTTGTGAACTATCACATGATGTATTCATGGTCAGTTTTGGTGCCAATAATGTATACTCCCAACAGGAAAAGAGCTGCAGTGCAGTCTTTTCGCCTCCAAGTATTGATCACTGCTAAATTTGCTAGTTTTAGTACTGCCATTGATATCTTATTTCTGTATTTCTGGTTTTTTGCTTATGTAAGCAATAAACATGAAAACAAAACCTAACTGAAACAAGAAGTCAGAAACAAAAAAGAAAGAATGTAGAGCCCAGAAGAGCTTTGAAATACCATTTTTCAGCATTGCTAAATTCCTAGCTGAAGAAACTGCAGGGGCCTTCAGAGAAAAGGGAACTGAGTGTATCTTATTTTGGACAGTAGTCTTCAGCTCATAGGAGTGCCTGAACATCTAGGAATATGGGTATTAACAGAGGTATTAGTCTTGCCCTGAAACTGTCAGGAGAAAAAATGGAAATGAGAGGTTAAGTAGTGATGGGAAAATAGTTAGAATATTCTCTTAGCTGGAAGTAACAGAAAATAATTCTGCCCTCATATTTAAACAGAAATTGAGTTTATTAATAAAGAATAAGGGCTAGCTCATAGAAGGACCTAATAACAGAAATACAAGGCTTAGAATGTGAAAAGAAACAAAGGCAGACCAGAGCCAACATCATGCCACAAGCCAGTCTGATGATGACACCACTGGTTCACCATGGGAATCTGGGCCTTGAAGTCTGCTCCTCCTGCACTGGGCACTATGTGCCATTGTCACATGCATTCCATGGCCCACTTTATGCACATTCAGCACAGTCAGTGATTTCTAGAACAGCAACTCCTTCATATAAGTCGGTTGTAACCATAATGCTTATATTTAACATATCTAAAGAATGTGCAATTTATCAATATCTAATAAAAATGAAAATGCTCACAATGTATATAGTAATTCCTTTTTGGGGTATATGCCTTGGTGAGCTGCACTCAGGATGCACAAGGATCAACATATCCAAGGATGTTCATTGAAGAATAATTTTCCTGTTCAAATCTTTTATCAGTGGCTTAGAGAGGAATTAAAAGAATTCTTACAAACTGTCAAAGGCAGAAGATGGGATAGAGAAAAAAATAACTTTATAAAAATTAGGCTGGGTGCAGTGGTCCATGCCTGTAATCTCAGCACTTTTGGGGGTCAAGGTAAAGGACTGTTTGAGCCCAGGAGTTTAAGACCATCCTGGGCAACATAGTGAGACTATGTCTCTACAAAAAAATTTTTAAACTAGCCAGGTGTGATAGCATGTACCTGTAGTCCCAGTTACTCAGGAGGCTGAGGTGAGAGGATTCCTTGAGCCCAGAGGGTTGAGGTTTCAATGAGCTGAGGTCATACCACTGCTCTCTAGCCTAGGTGACAGAGCAAGACCCTGTCTCTAAAATAAAAAAAATACATAAATAAAAATCAGTTTTTCTGAATCAGAAAGGAGATTCCAAATATTTGTAAAAGCCTGACAGTAGAGTAAAACTAACAAAAGAGAGTCAAAAATGGGCCTTTTTTTTTTTCTTTTAGTTTCAATAACCAACTGTATAAGTACAGGATAAGGAAGACTTGACGTGGGATTTTTCTTATAAAAATAACTTGATAGGTTTGAGTTAACTACAAACCTAATATACATGTTATGACAGCTGTTAGGTTGCGCCTGGGCCTGGTATCCAAATAAGGAAGATGTAACTGTCTTCCAATATTATGTAGAAGACAGTAAACACTGAAAACCACAGAATGTTAGTTAGGCATGAGATGTATTCCCCTGGGTAGTAAAAGATGAACAAATTGATAGAAATGATATGAATATGGATTTTGTTTTAGTTTAAGAAATAGCTTTCTGGCATCTGTAGGTTTCCAGTCGTTTAGAGAAGTGGTAAGTTACTATTTGAAGTAATTAAGAATAAATTCGATAGCTGTCTAATTATTCTATATTGGGTGAGAAATTTTGCATATTTTAAAATTTCTTAATTTTTGGCATTCAAATTTTTATTTGTTTGATAAGGAAATAGACCTGCAGATTAAAATAAAAGAATACTAAGAGCTTTGAGAAAATACTATATTCAAGGTTCTTTATCTAAATGATCTTAATCAGAAGCCGTGAGTCAAAGAGAAAGGAATAGCCCTACAGAGAAGTACTAAAGGCGAAGATAGAGATAAAAAATATGGTTATTTAAAAATGTTATCCCATCCTGTACAAGTCAGTGCAGGATGAGAAAGACCTGACTTGTGTGGATACTTTCTATGAAAATAACTTGAGGGGTCTGAGTTGCCCACAAATCTAATATGATAGCACACATTATAGAAATTTCTAACAAACTAGCCTCATTTTGTCTCTTTTTCTCTTTAGTAAAGCACAGTGGAGCAATTCTTTTCCCTGTTTGAATGAAATCTTGGTCCAGCTTATAACTTCACTAGTTACACTTAGCTGGTCATCCTGCAGTCACTTTAAATCACAAACACCATCTAATTTATAATGTAAAACATCCATTATTGTGTTATAATCAACAGTTGGAGCCTGATTTAAAGTGGAAACACTCCTGCCTCCTCACTTCCAATGGCCGGAGCCTGTCTTTGGTAGGCTGTTTGCAGCAGGAAAGAGAAGCAAAAGAAGGAAGAGTCATGGAAGGAGATAAGGTACAGAGGAAATTTCTCCCCAGTGGGTACTTTTTTAAGATGGTGACATATTCTCCAGGGAGATAGTGAAGGAGTGGAGCAGTTATTTGACGCTGACATGTTCTCTCCTGGGATTCTTTTAATTTCTGGGAACTCTCTCCGAGACCTTCCAACTGCTACTCCCTTTTCAAGGACAGGCTGGTAAATTTGGTGGGCCTCTGTCATCCTCCCCAGCATTCGTGCCCTGACTGGTATAGTTGCTTGTATCTGCCGTCCCCTTTCCCTGGCAGACCATGTACTTGGGGGGAATCCCTTTAAAAACAACTCCAGATTGACATCACAACCAGTTTCCACATCGAGCTCCCGAGATCGAGTTACCTTTAGCCTACTATTGGATAAGACAGGTGCAGTCGCTTCTCAGGAGCAGCTTTCTGCTCTGTTGTTACCAGCTGTTTCATTTGTTCAGTCCTGACAGAGGCTCAGTCCACAGGCCCACCTGTTATATTCTTAGTGATCTTACCACGCCTCTCTCACCTGATTTAGCACTGGGAGACGGCACCACTACACCCCTCCAGCTGTCAACTAAGAAGGTCTTTTGACAAGTCCTCCACAAATCCCACCTTTCTGGTCCTTTTATATCCCTGCTCTGGGTAAAAGACAGCTGGGAATGGGCCTTATGAGGACAATGAACACAAATATTTTCTTTGTAAATTTCATTTTGAGGTTTTGTTAAATCCAATATCCATCATATCTTGGTGCCATGGTCAAGAATTCCAATTAAACATTCCCATTACACTCATTTATACTGATATTTATTCCTATTATACTCCTCTTAACCTATTTGATAGGCCCAAATAGCAACATTTTACAGTTACGAAAACTGAGGCACAGAGAGATTAAATAATTTGCCCAAATTGTGGCCATACAGCTTGTAAATTGTGAGACACGATACGAATCCAGAGTCTTTTCTCCTGACTGTGCACCATGTTGTTTGGATTAGCTGATTTCATTGTACAGAAGAATGAATCTATACATTACTTTTCCTTCAGGAAAGGGAAGGTAAAGACAGGAGGAGAGGGTGTTGCTGCTATTCAACTGAAACCAAACAAAATTACAATCCTTGGGTTTACTCAGTGGCTACTTAAAAGCTCTCCCTTGTAGATTGTTATATCCTTTTGTGAGCAGAAAGCAGCTACATTTGTATGTCATTCTGTCAACTTATCTGTTATATTTATGTGACACATAAAGGATAATAATTGACATTTGTTGAGCATTCACTAAGTGCCATGCATGATTCTTGTCATGTATTATTCTGTTTTACCAAAATTCTTTTTCTTTTTTTTTTTTTTTTTTTTTTTTGAGATAGAGTCTTGCTTTGTTGCCAGGCGCCAGACTGGAGCGCAGTGGCACAATCTTGGCTCACTGCAACCTCCGCCTCCTGGGTTCAAGCAATTCTCCTGCCCCAGCCTCCTGAGTAGCTGGGACTACAGATGCGCACCACCACGCCCAGCTAATTTTTGTATTTTTAGTAGAGATGGGGTTTCACCATGTTGGCCAGGATGGTCTCAATCTCTTGACCTTGTGATCCACCCACCTCAGCCTCCCAAAGTGCTGGGATACAGGCGTGAGCCACTGCGCCCGGCCTACCCAAATTCTTTCACTCTTTCCTCAACAGTAAGGCAGTTTGTATTGTTTTCTCATCATAAAGATAAAGAAAGAGGTCCCAGGAAAAACACTGGGAGAAAACACCAAAGACAGAAGACCAGACTTCCCCTTTCTGTTCCACCATTTACTAGTATACAGAGTTTGCTAGACCAGTCACAGAGCTCCTTAGGGCCATATTTTCCTCATCTGCAAAATGAGAAAAATAATAACAGTCTTCTTTGCTTTGCAGGATCCTTGTGAGGCTCAAATGAGACAACAAGTGGGTACGTACTGTCCATATTCAAGCAAATATTATGACTATGTTATTCCTGTGTCTACCATCCCATGAAAGGTAGCTCAGTAGCTAAAATGACAAGTTAACCTTTAGCTGAGTGCCACATGACAAGGACCTCGGAGATGCTGTCCAACAGAGAGCAGCTACTATACACTGCAGAGGAGAGACCATTTCCCAAAAGCCATTTAAACAGAAGAAAAGCAACTTTAGAGTTTAAAAAAAGAAACTCAAAAATAGTATTGTATTGTTGAGACAGAGCCAAGTTGGGAAACCTTTGGGAAACTTGTTTCTCTTGAGAACTATTAGGTTTGAAAATGAGAGCCAGGTGGGGAAAAACAGATAAGGCCACAAAGGATGAGCAGAGAGAGAAAAAAACACAATTTTGGAGAAAGCTAGCATAAGAATACAGAAAAGTATTTTTTAAATCCACTCAAAAACTGACCGGAGATTTCAAGATATGATTGAATGTTTGCAAAATGCCCCAACTGCTTCATTCCACAGTCTAGAAGAGAAATAATGGAAACTTTCTTTTCTCTTTTCCAACAAGACATAACAAAAGCAGAGCTGATGTAATTAATGAAAAAAAGATGGCTATTTGAAATAGTGAAGGCTATGAACAACAGGATGGAATGGAAATGAAGTCCACATTTAGGGACAATTCATTATTTATCTGCTGTACTTTTTATGCACACCGTGTTCTGCTAATTCTCTCTCCTGGGAGAAGACCAAACCCGGTTAGTAAGTGATACAAGCATGAGTAGTTAGAAGCTATGGTATAAACCGCGGGCAGATGGAGCTATTCCTTGAATATCAATTAGCATAGTCCAACCAACTTGAAGACTCTTAGAATTGAATACTTCAACTTAATGGATCTGTTTTCAAATTCCCTTTAATGGCCCTTCTGTGACCATAATATCTACTTTTCCAGACATCCTAAGTAGAAACTATTATGGACAATGTATGTCAAATTCCCTAAGGATAGCATATGGAGGGGAGAATGTGAGTTGCCAAATTTAGCAGCTCTGGAGAGAGTGTTTTTGAATTAAACTTGAATCTATGGGGATTACAGTTCATTTATGACTGACAAAACATATCTTCCCAATTCTGAAAGATAAATCCCACCGATATACATGTGGATTTCACAGGGTTTCTCAAAAACTAGAAGGAAAAAAAAAACCCTTTCCACAAAATGCAGTTTTATAACGATTTTGGATTTATGATGTCACATGTTCTTTTTGCAGCTTTCCTCGGGTTAAATGAGGAATTTTCTAAGTACTGTGCCAACTGTACTTACCACCTGAGGAAGCTCAAATCGGAAGATTCATCCCTTACATATTAGAATAAGAGCTCTGCTTTTGAAAGAAGAGAATTGAACACTGAAATGCAGTGGCTATGGGCTTTAGGATTTTTAAAATAAGTAAATTTTCAAAAGTATGGTAGAACTGAAAACACTGTCAAGTTTGTCTTTTGCTGAATGAGATCAGTTTTCATTTTAATTTTTTAAATCAATTTTAACATCACTCTTAATTTCCTTTTTAAAATCAATTTTAAAATTAAAAATTAATTTTTAATGTTTTAAATCAATTTTAATGTTACTCTATTATCCTTTCCATAGTACAAATGTTAGAAGTTTAAAGTGCAGGTCTTTAAATTTAATGTACTTGGCTTCATGAAAAATTATCTTCATTTATCATGGCGTTCTGATTTCACGGTGGACCATTGAAAATATTGTAGCAAACCAGCGCAGGTCTGCAGAACCACAGCTGAAAACACCTAGCCTGATTGACTTTGTTAATACGAGCTAGTTCTCTACCCTAAACAGCCGTTAAAATCTAATTCAAAAACTTCCAATGTCTAAACAGCAAATACCTGTAGTTTAGGACAAAATGATTAAATCTTTCAGTGAATATTTACATTTGTTGGAAAATGGTGTTTTATTTTGTACCCATTCAATAAATTCCTTGGAATAAAATTTCTTTTCCTTCCTACTTTAACGGACCTGACATCGCTAGGATTTTACCAACCTTTGAGTAGTTTGTATCATAACTATTAACTTATTTTGAAACTTTTGTAAGACTTCTAATTTACATGTGCAGAACACTCTTAATTCCAGCTTTCCTTTTTTTCATTCTGAATAAGAAAACCTCTTAAATATCAGATTTTTTTTTACAGGTTAAACCAAACCATAAACTCCATAAAACTACCGAGAATCTTTGTTTTGTTGGCATCATCTTGAATTAAATGTCTAATAATAAGTGGTCTTTGAGCAGACAATTAAGAATCCTTTTATCGTGATTTTGAAATTTTTAAAAGAGATTGGTCTGTTATGAAAATGGAGCTTAATTTTATTTATGCTGGTTGAGTAACTTTCCACTGAAAGTGAAAGACTAAAAATTGAGTTTTTCCCTGTACTGAACTTGGAAAACCTAGATTTAGGATACTTACATTTAAGCACACTTTGTTCTTTTTCTTATCCTTTTGAAAATTAATATTTGTACTCTTAGGAGAAATAATTAGTTAAGTCTTCCCTCTGGCAAACCTAGCAGGCAGCCTTCTTCAGCATTTAATTCCTTAAGGGATGGAAAGAGGATATCTTTAAATATTTTTCCTCCTATCTCTGTTACTCTGAAAATCAATGCATGCTTAAATTCCATCCTCCTAAACTTAACCTAAGACCTAAAACAAGTAATCCACACATCAAAAATAAATTTGCCCATGTTAAATTAATCTGAATCCTGGAAAGTTATACTAGGGGAAGCGCTGGTGGGGAAAAATCACTTTTTTTTTTTTAACTGATGTGGCCTCTGGAGTAGTCGAGTTTTTTTCACAACAGGTTTGTGTTTCTTTTATAATAAGTAAAATCCTACCAAATGTTGTTTATTTTTATTTTATTATGATATAAATACTTAATGCGAGATGTCCCCTCTTAGGTTTTTAAGTATACAATACCATATTGTTAACTATAAGCACTATGTTATGCAAAAGATCTCTAGAATTCATTTATTTTGTGTAACTGCAACTTCAGGCATTGCTTTTGAAATCTGAAATATGTGTTCTGATGCCTCTATAGCAACCATGCTTTTATTCTCAAAAAATAAATAAAACACAGATGAGGGTAAAAACCAAAACACATTTCTTGAACTAAAGAAATTATCAAATATATACCCTCAAACTGCATTAAAACCAGTAAGAGTCTGTTATTTTTCTTAAACATGTAATTTTCAATTCATTCTGGATATTTTCTCCTACATATCTTAGAGCAAAGGTTGTTATTGGCTGAAATTGTCAATTGTGGCTCTGGCTATCTTAACTGATAACCAGTAGAGGTCGCCACCTACCATATTCTAGCAGGTCTGGGAGAGGGAAAAATATTATGAATGTTTGGTTAGTAAAAATGCACAGAGGTCAGAAGTTTTTAATATGAAGCTTTCTTCTTGGAAGCTTTGCATAATTCAACCAATATTCAAGTCAGAGGAAAAAAGAATAAATAAAAATAATGAATCCAAGATGTTAGTGTTATAGAACTTCAAAAAACAGAATTTCTTAGAAATTACATAAAAATTCTTCTAGTTGACTTAGTTAATACAAATTCTTCTTCATGTCAAAATCTTGGAAAGAAAACCTCACAATGTTATCAAATCCAAACACAGTAAAATGCATATATTTGTAAAATGGCATCGTGATCTCTTTCTACTAGTATATGTATGGAACCCCTAAGCATCTCAAATTTTCAATTTTGCCCTCACATATTCTATGACTTTCATTCTGTGTTTTAATTTTTTTAATTTATTAGTTGTATCAACTACACAGTGAAAATTAACTCATCATAGTGTTGAGGTGGCCTGTAGTTATAACAACTTACAAAGCATATTGAAGCTTTAGTATATAATTACTGCTCTTGGGTTTTCCAAAGAAAGTTTAAGCTTTGACTTATTTTCTTTAAGTCATGATTAAACTGAAAAGAAAGGACTTCTTTTCCTATAGTTTGGAGATAGAATCTATAGATATCTTGACATAAGAAAATATCTTCCCTTTAGAAGAGGGAATAAACTTATACTTGATAATTTAGAATGTTCAAATGGGTAGTGATAGGCAATTCAAACTAGGGAAGGCTTTTCCAATAAACAGAATGTTTTTAAAATATAAATGGTTATTTCAGAAGTTCAAATGGTAAGCTTACTATCACTAGAAGTGTTCACAGAGATGGGTAATTAGTGAGATGTAGTGAGAATCTTGATAAGAATGTGTTAGGAATTTGAAAGCTCAGGTTTGAGGGGAAAGCTTTACTAAATTTCTAAGAAGGATCATGTGTAATTTTTAGATTTTTTTGTTTTAAATTGATAACAGTGTTAAAATTATGTTGCTTTAGAATAATGTTATGTTATGTGACAAATACATCTGAACATTATAGTGGATTAACACAACTGTTTATTTCAAACTCATGCACTATTCCATGCTGTTATTAACGGTTTGTTGATGACTCTCCTTTATGGCAATTCAGGGACCCAGATTCTATCCATTTTGTGGTTCTGCCATCTCCTAGGCTGTTGAAATAGTTTGCGTCTACCCAACAGAAGGGGAAAGAGACAAAAGAGAGTGAACATCTACTTCTTAACCTGGAAATAACACATTGCTTATATTCCATTGCAGAAGGCTAGTTAGATGACCCCACATGGATTGAAAGAGAAGGTAAAGCACAAATATTAATACACAGTTGCTGTCTTTACCACTGTCCATCCCTCTGACAACTGAACATTTGTGTACATCCTTCTTCTTACGCATGTATTATCTCTACAAAGGAGTCAACACAGACTTATATTTAGTAACTTGATTCAACTAAAAGTCCAGAAAATCTGAGTGATACATATACTCTCCATCAGGTCTAGATGTGACACCTTATAATCTAGTGACTATTTCCTAAAGTAGATTGCATCAGTGGCCCAAATCTTAATCACTCCTTGTATCCGCATTCTTTGCCACGTAACTCAGTGTCCAATCCCTGTGCATATGGCAGTGTTACCATAGCCTTTTACTCTGGTCTCAGCCAGGCGACTTGCTTTGATCAAAGGAATATTAGCAGATAAGATGTAAGCAGAAGCTTGCCCTCTACTTTCAACATGAGAACATCCTCAGGTCTAGTCTACAGAAGGATGAAAGACACACAAAGCAGAGCCAGTCGCTTCAGCCAAGGCATCCTCAGTTAGTTGACAGCCAGCCAACCTTCAGATAGACAAATGATCTAAGCCAAGACAGAGCTGCCTGGCTAAACCCCAGCTGATTCTAGACATGTGAGCAATAAATGCTTAATGTTGTATGACACTTCGGGTTTTGTAATTGTTTATTATGTAGGCTTATTGTGGTCATAGATAACTGATACATTTACCAAACTAGACTATTAACCCTTAGTGGAAATTTACTTGTTTTCATTTTCTATATAAAATATAATGCTATACTTTCTCATACTGGAATGCAAATTTTGTTGAGTTCATTTCAATAGGTAGCAAGATTAAGCTAGATAAATGTTGTAAATATTGTGAAACATAAGCATGAATTAACTTTTTATATCTTTATAGCACTTTTAACTTTTCAAATCACTTTCAGATCTTCTTTCACTTGATTTTCGTAGCAACTTTGATGGAAAGGAAAATAGATATTAATCCTATATTCCTATCAAATCTCAGCGACTAAATTACTACTCCAATAACAACTGGTTAATGGCAGAACAAGATCATACACACTGGAACCCAACTCCCCTGCCTTCCAGAATGTACCCCCATTGGTGAATAGGCCTTCATTGGAGAAATAAGGAGACAACAATTTTCCCATAGCTATTGTATGGTAAACATTGTCATAACATTCTTACCTCATCAATGGATATTTTCAAGGGTAAACTTTACTCCTTCAGAAATCTCTGATACCTGCTTATGCCTATTCCCTCTAACGAAATGCTTTTCCCAATATTTTCTACTTCAAGGATCTGTAGAATGGATCAGTAAACAAGAATTGGATGCAAAGAAATTTTTACCTATAGCAGAGTTTCACAGCCTTAGCACTATTGGTGTTGGAGCTAGATAATTCTTTGTTGTGGGAGTCTTGTCTGTTTATATTCAGTAGCATCTCTGACTTGTACCCACTAGATTCCAGTAATATTGCCCCAGTTGTGACAAACAGAAATACCTCCAGACATTGCCAATTATTACCCCCTAGAGTGATATTCATCCCCTCTTCCATTAAGAAACATGGGGCAAATTAAATGCAACCAGGATTTTGCATGAGTTTCAGATTCCTGGAAGATGAGAGCTGAGCATAAGGAATGAGTTCGTGTAAACTTTTTATTTTATAAAGTTTTACATTTTTATTTTCATTTTATAAGGAAGAAAACTATACCCAA